GTCGAGGATCTGTTTGAGTTTGAGGGTTGCAAGGTTGGAAGAGGTACATACGGGCACGTATATAAAGCTCGTCGGAAAGAAGGGTTAGTTTTCTTAACCTAATTTCTGATTACTTTGCGAAACTTCCTTGATTTCTCATATGTTTAAAATATTTTACATTTAGCAGTATAAGATGGGGAGCACAGATTCTTGCATAACGCATAATGCACAAGATCGTTCTGCTTCCTCAGATTAATTTCGGATGAAAAAACCTATCGTTTAATTCTCCTAAAGGGCTCTGAATTTACATTGGAGCCATATTTATTTCCATATAAAAGCATGTGCTGTGCCTCGTATCGATCATTTTCTATTCAAGATTTTTTGTATACGAGAAAGTGTATTTATTCGCTCTTCAAATTTGCATTTAGCGTTTAATGTTCTATTATCTAATTCTTGATTTAGCTCTCGTCCCAATTTGTCTAATGCAGAGATTTTTAATACGATCGCTAATTTTTAATTAAAATGTTATGCTGATTCTACAACGGATACTTTTCATTTAGTGACACAAGTTGACACGAGCTTCATTCCATTTTTTAAAGCATTTAATAAGTAATAAAGATAAAACAACGCTTATGTCATCAAATAGAAAGCACATAGCGAATCGCTAGTCGGTAGTTATAAGTCTTATTGATGAAGTTGACCAATAGCCTACTTGTACGACTAACGCTGATTGGCCAATTCACCGACTAAGACTTTCGACTACAGATTCATTGTAGAATCAGCATTAAGCCTACAATGAATCAGTAATCTGTAGTTGGTGAGTCAGAAGTGAATCTGAAGAATAATTGGTGAATAAGGTTTGGTCAGCAGCCAATTTCTAAGAGGCTTTCTACAATAAACCATTAGTAATAAGTCAGAAGATAGAAATTGAGCCCATCACTCGAATTTATTAATTATGACTTGTAGTAGCCTAAGATTACTGACTACCAAATCATTATAGATCTGGACTTACATTAAGATTTGACTGAATAATGTAACCATTTAGACTCACATTATTTTGAAATATCTGTAATCTTTTCTTTTTTTGAAAGTTAAACAATAATTATTACTTCATTACATATTTGTGTATGTATCAATTGAATATCAACCAAATTAAAATATTGGTTAAAAATTATACTATGATTTAGTTCTGAGAAATATTCTATTCTCTGTAAATTTAATGTTAATATGTTGGAAATAGTGTTTCAGATAGTGAACTAAAGTCTCGGCCTGATACAAAAGATTTTGGCCTCAAGCAAATTGAAGGTACAGGACTTTCGATGTCTGCATGTCGAGAAATTGCTGTGAGTTATCTCATTATTTTTAAATGATGCAAAAACATTTGTTTGCAAACACAATGGGATATTTCACTTATTTTCTTCTATTCTAGTTACTCAGGGAACTGAAGCATGTCAATGTCATTACTCTTATTCGTGTTTTTCTCTCACATAATGATCGTAAAGTTTGGTTGTTATTTGACTTTGCTGAGCATGATTTATGGGTATGTGTTAATAATTTTAATTTGAAAATAAAATATTTTTAGGCACATTACAACAAATATTTTATAGTAATATTTACATATGTATTTGCAGCATATAATTAAATTTCATAGAGCAGCAAAAGCCAATAAAAAACCAGTAATGGTACCCAAAGGCATGGTTAAATCCTTATTATACCAAATTTTAGATGGTATTCATTATTTACATTCCAATTGGGTACTTCATAGAGATTTGGTAATTATTTTTGACGTTATTAAACGTTCTCATTTTTCTATTTTTATCACTTGCAAATACCAATTTTCTTTATTTCAGAAACCAGCAAATATCTTAGTCATGGGTGAAGGAAATGAGCGGGGACGTGTAAAAATTGCCGATATGGGCTTTGCTAGATTATTTAACGCTCCTCTTAAACCTTTAGCAGATTTAGATCCCGTTGTAGTTACATTTTGGTATAGAGCTCCCGAATTACTTTTAGGCGCCAGACATTACACAAAAGCTATAGGTCTGTCTACATCTATATTGTATATTTTTATAATTTGTATAAAATTGTGTATTGAATATTTTATTCTATTACTACAGACATATGGGCTATCGGCTGTATATTTGCAGAACTTTTAACATCCGAACCTATATTTCATTGTAGACAAGAAGACATTAAGACGAGCAATCCATATCATCATGATCAACTAGATAGGTGAAAATACTGAAAATATAATTTGTATTTATTTTTTGGATGATATGGAGAATGACATAATCTTTTTAGGATATTCAATGTGATGGGATTTCCACTGGAGAAAGATTGGGAGGATATAAAAAAAATGCCAGAGCATCCTACATTGCTCAGAGATTTTAAGAGATCCAAGTGAGTTTGTCAGTTCAAAACATAACTCCATCAATGTTTTATTTAAAATTTTTAAATATTTTTATTCTTATTTATTTTTAGTTATGCAAACTGTTCACTTACTAAATATATGGACCGGCATAAGATCAAACCCGATAGCAAGGCATTTAATTTGGTATGATGTATAAAATAAGTATACAAATTTTGTAGTATGTTATCTTATCATATTATTGTTTAGTTACAGAAACTATTAATGATGGATCCAAACAAGCGTATTACGTCAGAACATTCAATGCAGGATGCCTACTTTCAGGAGGAACCACTGCCAACACAGGAGTATAAATCTATTTGTATATTTATAATTTTTTTAAGTCTCAATTGCATTTAACATGAAAATTTTAGCATATTTGCTGGGTGCCCTATTCCTTATCCTAAGAGAGAATTCCTTACGGATGACGATACTGAAGAAAAGACTGAAAACAAAGCGAGGCAAAATCAGCAACAAACGGTAATTACTTCCGACATATATTAAGAACACTTATATAATATACTTTATATGGTTTAAGCCGCAACTACTATAATAAAATAATCGCAACTATAGTACAGATATAATTTATAATATCCAAATAAGTATCTATTTATAATTATGTATCTTCTACATTTTTGAAAAATATGGTTTCAATTGTTTAAACGGCCCCATATGACCGCTGCAGTGGCAAGGTGAGTGAAGCCCACTTTGCCGCTGTCTAAGCTCCGTCGTTATATGGTAGTTGAGGATTGAACTGATTTTTTTTAACATCGCTTTTTTAACCTTGTCGCTCATCCGAGTATTCGTGAAACAGCAACAGCAGACCCAACAGCAGCAAGGTAACGGCGATCATAATCATGGACAGAACGCGAAACGGGTGAGACTGAACGGGCCGCATGGTGCTCCTGAGTTCCATCAGCATCAGAGCCACACGATGCCCCACCAACAACCGGGGATGGTTTATTCGACGACTCAACCAACGCAATCGTCGAACTTCCATCAACGTTTCTAATTTTGTAACTCATAATTAAATTGATCAGACAGAATTAGGCCAAAACTTAAACTATCACTCTAATGCATTTTAATTTAATTCACTAATTCTGTCAATAAGAAGTCACGATTAGTCCATATATATTCGTGCATGCGCGCATGCGTACGTACGTGCGTACGTACGTACGGAAAGGACGCTCAACATGCGTAACATTTTTTGTCCTATATCCGCTTTTACTTCCGTTGCTATCTATCCTCTGTTTTATATCAATAGTTTAGTTTCTACCGAAGTCTTTAATTCGGTTCCACTTCGGTGCAGGGTACGTATTATGGAATTATTTGAAATGGATTCCGATCGAAATTATTCAATTATTACTTAGATTTTTATTGCGTTTTAGGGAAAAGAGAATAATTCTAATCGGAATCCATTCCAACTTACATCATGATAAACTTCCAGTATGCTGTTTTCATTAGAAGTAGTGACCTTGTGGATCTAAGCGGGAGTGAAATGAGCGCAATCAAACGCATTTCCATAGACTTCGTCGCATCAACCTCATGCAGACAACAGCGCTTTAACACCGAACGTTGATTGGTGAAAAACGGTTGATGGGAGTAAATTTTACCTCCACGACCGGTTTTTCACTCAGCGTTCGGTGTCAAAGCGCTGTTGTCCGTATGAGGATCCGGGCTTAGATGTGAATTAATGCTTTAATGGAAACCAAAGACTTAGAGGTCGCGCACACACTTTCCGTATCGGTAATCGTAAAACTTACCGTAAGAATTAGTCAATCACAATCAAGAATTTTCAAAAATTTTCAGCTTTCATCAGCTGACTCTTACGGTATGTCTTATGATTACTGTGGAAAATTGTGAAAAATGCGTGCGGGCCCCTTTGGACCCTATGGGACATACAAAAATATAAGGCAGTAAAACGTGAGTAGAGTAGCGATCATGTAATTTTTTCTTTAGAGCGAAAACGTGAAAAGTGAAAATTTTTATGTATGTATGTACATATATACACACATATACAAAAAGATTTTCATTTTTTATGTTTCAGCCCTAAGAAAAAAGTTACATCGCTACTCAGTAAGGAAATCGTAATGCATAGTCTACAATGTCAGTATCAGTAATGGATGAAGCTGTAAGAGTAAGAAATGGACCAATCGGTCGATTGTTCTTCTTACATTCTTGTAACTATGATTGTTTAATTTGTTACTCTTACAAGTCTCATCCACTACTGCCACTACCATTGTAGACCACGCGCAACATTGAATTTTTTATGGCTACCGCAGACAAAATTTCTATAACAGTAACCATAAGACGTAAATTTAAGCAGATGAGCCAATCAGAATATTGCTTTAGATCTACATAATCTAATGGAAATAGAAATAACAGTAAACTTATCCATAAGGCAAATTTTAACTAGTTGAAATTTGATTTACAGATAAATGTATTGCTATTTCTATTTCTGTTAGATTACATATAATATATCTAAAGCAATATCTTGATTGGTTCATCAACTTAAAAGTCTTATGATTATTGTTACAGAAACTTTGGCTGTGTTCCAAAATTTACTGCCAGTACTGAAAATGTATAGTGCACGTGACGTAAATTATAGATTTTCAGTACTGGTAGAAAATTTTGGAACACACAGTCTTTGTCTACGTAGCTCTTGCTGACCTTACGATTTCTATTGTGATCAGCTAATTCGCTTACTGTTTACGTTTTAATTGCCTTACGTTTTTATGTGTGCCCTAGGCTATAGAGCATGAACTGTGCCATTCATATCTAAATAGTAGTAGTCAATAAAAATGAGAGAAAGAGAGAGAGCGTAAAAACGGTCAATCTTCATTCTAACATATTGTGATTGATTGAATAGAAAGAGATAGAGATTATCCGTCGGGTCGGGCTGTTCTCTATCTCTTTTTATTAATCAATTTTACTCACGAATGGCGTAGTCCATGCTCTGTCTTCGGTAGAAACTAGACCTGTGATATACGCGTCTTTACTGGAAAGATCTCCATATAAGATCTCCAATGATGGTCGCGAAGACGGGAAACTGGAAAGATAACACGGGCGAAAGCGAGGAACGAAAGAAGGGCTTGATCACGCAAACGGCAAAGGAGAGGGAAAGCGATCGGACTTGGGCCGGGCGTCGATTAAACGGCAGAGGGGATCTATCGCGCACGCGCGCAATACGAGTCGTGCCGCCAGTTGCACGATCAATTGCATACAACACGTCGCGTCGACCGTCGTCGTTGCAGGCTCCTGTAACGCAGTTTACACGAGTCGCTCGACTAAAAAAAGTGCGTATGCGCGTGCCGCTCGAGTCAGGCGATGTGCTGTCTGTTGAGTTGTCGTGTGTTGCTCCGATGAGTGAATAAAGCAGGTGAGACGGTCCAATCGTTAACGCTCATTTTATTTAGAGTAGAGATCCTATAACAGAGTTTGACCACGAGTAATTTTGTTAAAACATTATGAAAGAGTGAAAAAGAAGAGTGTATATACTACCTGTTTTTGTATTCTGCTATCTCATTCTAACTCATTCTAAAAACGATGGGCTAATCAAAAGTTTGCCATCTTGTGGCTGGATTCTGTTATAGGATCTCAGATCTCTTATTTATATTTGTATGATGTGTGAAGTAGGATCGTTTCTTTTATTCATTGATTATATTATTATATTAATATCTAAGTCATTGTGAAAATCTGGAAAAATCGCAGGATATTTCGAATAGATCTCAAAAAATAGATCCTAAAAGCAGAGATTAAAAGTAACTAATTAAAATATTAGTGTTATATATGGACATTTATCGCACGTGAATAAAAAATTATCAAAAGAGTAAAAATATCTAGAATTTTTAAAACTACCATCTTGTTATGAAATTCTTAAACTTTAAAAGACATTTTTCGATTTTGTTCTAAAAAAACGCTGTAAAGCTTCTATATATATATATATATATATGTTTTCATGATTTGAGAACCTATGAGAAATATTCAAGAAAATCAAGGAAAGCATGAAACGTATTTATTATATATATCAGTCTCTCGTATTATATCTTAGGAGAAAAGTATGTAGGTATTTTTTTAACAGTAATAAAACTCTGATAAATTTGTTGAAAATTGAAGTAAACTATTTTCAATAGTAGTATATTTTTACTAGACACATCTGTAATGGAGATTGTACATTGATATTCTTCCCGCGTTTGTTCAGTGCTGAATATTTCGTCTCTTCATTTTTGAATACAGCCTCCATAATATCAAGTAAATAGGATAAATAAGTATTTGGAACTACGATTGTGTAAACATATTTGTAAGTGATTGTAGTTGTAAGAATTGACCAATCACATCGTGCTATCTACTTGATATTACAAATACTTGATTGATCAATCAAAGAATGCTTCAAAGCATTTGCAGCATGAATTAAGTAGATCGCATTCATAGTCGAATATGAAAAGAGTATTTGATTGTGATTGATCAATTTTTATAACTACAATCACTTACAACTATGCTTACGAAATTATAGAAAGGACTTGAGGCGCTTGAGTATAATCACCACAGCCATATTGAATCGTCAAAAGCGAGAAATAACGCATTAATTTTTGTTACATGCCATTTGAAAATGAAAATTTGAATGAAACGAAATGATGAAATCGCTTTAAAACATTTATAAAAATATACGAAAACTATGCTCATCCCACTTGACAGTAAACAATCGTAAAGAGTGATAAAAGGTATATGAAATGTTTTTATTCAGTGCGCATGCGCAGCTTATTTTTACTTACAAGTGTCTTTTATCACTTTTACAATTATTTACTAATTGTCAGGGCGGATGAGCATAGTTTTCATCCATTTTTACAAGATTCTTTTAAAGGAATCTCATTATTTTGTTTTATCTAAATTGTCCTTATTTATAAGTGACACGTAATAAAAACGTGTCATTTCTCGCTTCTGATGTCAATATTGCTGTGGTGACTATTCAGGAACCTTAAAAATAACAGGAAAGTATAGAAAAAAGAAGAAATATGCTAGGCGATTCGACTATCGCGTGTGCGATTTCCAATTACTCACCGTAGTGGCCACACAGGTGATGTCTCTCGCGCCTTTGCGACCGGGATTTTCGCATATCTCTCTCTCTCTCTCTCTCTCTCTCTCTCTCTCTCTCTCTCACGACGAAAGGATAGTTTGTTAGAAAAGATCGTTAAAACTTAAATGCCCGTGCTATAATCACACAGTGGTTTCACTGGACGATAAGCGATACTTTAATGCCGCTAGTACAATGCAGACACTGTATTTGATCCGTGAGCAGTGACTGTTTTATATTTCACACAATTTCGTTTCAATGGGGACTTATACTGTATAAATGAAAAATATCGTATTAAAATAAAGATATCCTGTCCTTTGAAACATAATACATAACATACAATGATACAGTATTTAACTAATAGCGAATTCGATTGGATGCGCTCGGTGCGCCCTGTGCACATTAAAGCCATCGTACACGAAATAACGTAAAAATATGTTTATATACATAAACATAGAAATCGATTAAATCCTGAAATACTCAATACATTTTATTATACTATTAGGTAAAATATGTATTTTATAATTCAAAATATTTATATTTCACTTTCATACTCTAAATTAAATCAAAGCTATTATCTAAGCTTTAAATCTTAAACCAAAAGAAATTGATCAATCAAAACCAAATGTGAGAAGAATAATCGACTACAATTGGTCAATTTCTTATGACTTAAAGAGATTTAAAGAGTAGGTAACAGCTTATTGTAGAAAATTCATCAGACCCGCTTCCGACTGTAGACTATCGACTAATTTGTAGACGCGGCTTAAGAGATCGCGATAAAATAATTATTAATATAAGTTAACTTATATTAATTTCCGTTCAATGTTTTGTCGTAAATTTAATGTTCTGTTCCACCCGAGAGAGAGAGAGAGAGAGAGAGAGGGGGGGGGGGGGGGGGGGGGAGGGGGGGAGGAAGGAGATTGAATGATTCTTTATTAGCTTTTTTAGCTATTCTAAAAAACAATACGAATAATACATACTTAATCTTAAATCTAAGTAACATTAAATATTATATATTCTTTTAATACTCTTTTAAATGGCTCAAGTCTTTCATACTGCTTTACTTCACACGGTAAGGCGTTATACATTTTCACTCCTTCATAAAACATACTCTTTTTTGCACTTTTTGTTTTGCGGAATTTTTTTACAATATTCCCAGTCTGCCGTGTGTCTTGTCTTTCGCTCTCAATTCGCACAGTGTCTACCTTATTTCTTAATTGCTCCGGCATCATGTCATTTAGAATCAAAGTCAATAAGAGTACACACATTATAATAAAGCCTGTGTCTTATGGACATAAACTGCAGTGCTTGCAGTATGTGTTCTACTTTGGGGTATCTGTTATATTGCAATATGATTCTCATAGTTCGCCTTCTGCAATTCGCCCAGCTGTGTTTTTCCCATATCAATCAACAACATTGCACAATACTCAAAGTGAGTTTGCTATGATTGTCTTATATAGAATACATCTAGTGTAAGCCGATATAAAATTACCTGTTCTATTTTTTTTAAGAAAAAACCCGTTTTTTCCCTATTTTCTTTAGCATATGTAACCACAGTGGTTTTTAAACCAAAGTCTATCATCAATGATTATTCCTAGGTACTTCATTGTTTCAACCTGTTCTATTACAGTTTCATCCAAACATTTTAACGTAATATTACCACTCATAGCTCTTTCCTTATCATAAATTTGGTTTTCTCTGCATTTAATTTTAATTTATTTACGTTCATCCATCCTTTTACTATGCTAAATACCATGTTCATTTTATTCTCTAATTCCGTATTACTCTCTCCAGTTACGTATATTAGCGTATCGTCTGCAAATATTTTTATATTGGATTCTTCTGGACAAATTTTGATTATACTATTTATGCATATAAGTTATAAATAACAATATGGACCTAAAACAGATTCCTGTGGTATTCCATACTCTGTGAACCTGAATAACTTTGAACATTTATTGTTGAATCGGACGTGTTCTGTTCTATTTTCTAGATATGACTTTAACTATTCTAAAATCATACCTCTAATTCCATACTGATATAATTTTCCTAATAATCTTTCCCTATTTATTGTTTCAAATGCTCGTTTAAGATCTATAAAAATTATCCCTACTATTTTTCGTTCACTAACTATCACTTTCCACTCATTTATAATGGTTTGGATCGCTGTCTCGCATGAGTACTGTCTTCTAAAACTCAATTAGTATTTTGTTATAAAATTGTTGTTTTTCAAAAATCTTCAATTTGCGCCTTTTTACAGCTATCTAAAATATTTCTCAAATATTGGTAGTACATTAATAGGCCAGTATTTATTTGCTTTTTTAGTTTTTTCTATTTTTGGAATCGGTATTGTTATATAGGTGTTTTCCACCTTTCTGCAGTAACCATCCCTTGAGGAACTATTTATTGTATTAACAAACTTGTCTTTTATTACATAAAATGCTACTTTTAATATGTCGCTAGTTATTCCCTCATCCGTACCTTTCTTTTTTTATAATCCTGTAACAATTACCTCTGACTCTTCTACTGTGACTATTTCCAAGTTATACATACCACTAGATTTAATATTCCCATTTATCGAATTTACTATATTACTAATACTCTATATTTAATACATTAAATTTATTAGCTATATTACCCCCTTCAATGTTATCTAATATTTTAAAATCTGTACTCTTTACCTTCTTTAAACCAATTATTTCACTTCTTTCAAGATTTTCCACATAATTGTGGGATCTTCTCTATTTCTATCTATCATACAATATTTTCGTAATACTTTTTTTCTTTACCCTAATTAATTCGACTACTACATTTCTTTCAATTTTAAACTGTAACCAATTATGCTCCGTATCATCGTACAACGCATTTCTGTACGCCACATCTCTTCTAACGACTACCTCTCTTATTTCATCTCACTTTTTTCCCTCCCATATTTTCGGAATTCTAAATTTCTTCCTAGGTGCAGTAGCATCGGTGTTAACAAATTTTTGTGCTCTTACATCAAAAATTTTGATTTCGTTGTAATTTATTTCCTACTAATCTAATAAATTCATCTACATTGAACTCGTTACAATTCCTAGCGTAAAATTCGATAAATATAACCTTCCTATATACTTGCCTCGGTAGTCTAAAGGCTTAGGATGCTCACGCGGAATGCAAAAGATTTAAGTTCGACTACCGACCAAGATAATATTTTTCACAATAAGAACTAATTATTTACAGATTTTTATATGTCACTCAGCATTATTGAGATCGTTTTAAGATACGAAAAAGCATCAAATTGTTAAATTGCTGGTCAATTTAACTCG